ACAAATATGCATCCTCATTTATCCTGTTTTTTTTTTGTGAAATCTACATCTATTATCAAAACTACATGTTGTGATCTTTCTTTTATGTATTGCGTTATGACATTTTGTGAAAAATCTGTACATGATGGAGAAAAATGGATATCATTTTTGGATTCAGTATACAGGAATTACTGTAGAACAAGTAAACATTTCAAAATAATAAAACCATCACAGGCATGTGTAATTGATTAAATCACCCAGCACTAATTGTAGTATTTATGTATTATGTAATTTTATCAACTATTATAAAAATTGTAATGCATTGAGAGCCATAGGTCTACTCCTGCTTATATGTCATATAACACTATTTGAATATATATTATTGAATTGTTTTTGTAGTTATTAGATGTACATTATCAATCCAGTTTAATGTATATAATTTAAGCCCCTGATTTATTGCCCCCCCATTAGTGTTACTTCTATTACGCAGCTGTGAAATGGCAGGCTGTGGTTCTACGAGGCATACATATTAATTGATGTAGGGTACTAAGAAACTATATGTAGTTTGTAGTTTAAGTACTGGTTTTAGCCAGAAGTGTGCTACATTAAAGCTTAGATACTGGTATTATGTCTTTGGTAGGTAGCAGACTGTGGGCTTCCAAAGCATATATATATGTACTTGATGTAGGATACTAAGAACTTGTGATTTACATTCATAATTTCTGTCAATTTATATAACAAGTATGTGACAGTTTAAGATTACCATATGCAATGCCTTGCAAAAGTCTTCACCACCCTGTGCTGGTAATCAATTTTAGTTATTTTCTTGTGAAAGACATAACTCAGATGGCCAAAAATATTTATTAATCTCAGACCAGTTTCTAATGGTTACAAATAACAAAAGGTGCATTGTTACTCACTTTAGTGATATAACACAAAAACATCTTAAAAACACATGTTACAAAAGTCTTCACCCCCCTAACATGATTATGCAGTTAATATTTGTTTGAAGCTCTTTTGGCAGCAATGACAGCTGAAAGTCATTTTGGATAACCATCCACAAGCTTTGCACAGTATGCCGGAGATATTTTTGCCCACTCCTGTTTGCAGATGTCCTCCAGTTCTTGTAAGTTGGAAGGATGTCTTTGATGCACAGCAGTTTTCAAGCCTCTACACAGATTTTTGAGTGGATTTAAGTCTGGGCTTTGGCTTGGCCAGTCAAGGACTTTAATTTTGTTTCTCTGAAACCATTCTTGGTTTGCCTTTGATCCATGTTTGGGATCATTGTTCTTTTGAAATGTAAACCTTCAACTGAGTTTTAATTTTTCAGCTGACTCCTTTGGGTTTACCTCCAAGATATGTGTATATTTTGCACTGTCCATGATCCCTTTATTGCACATAAGTTCTCCAGTGTCAGCTGCAGAATAACATCCCCACAGCATTATGGACCCACCACCATGCTTGACAGTTGGGACTGTATTTGCCGGGTCATGAGCAGTGTTGGGTTTCTGCCATACATACCATCTGTCATTTAACCAAAAAAAAATTCTAT